AGGGAGCTCCCACCGAAGGCCCCAGTGGGGGTGCCCGCATGCTCTCCCCCACCCAGGGCTGCGTTTCGTGGTCCCATAGGGAGCTCCACCGTATGCCCCAGTGGGGGTGCCCGCATGCGGTTCCCCCACCCAGGGCAGCGCTTCGTGGCCCCATAGGGAGCCCCTCCGAAGGCCTCAGTGGGGGTGCCCGCACGCTCTCCCCCACCCAGGGCAGCGCTCCGTGGCCCCATAGGGAGCTCCACCATAGGCCCCAATGGCTGCTCTCGCATTCGGTTCCCCCACCCAGGGCAGCGTTTCGTGGCCCCATAGGGAGTTCCACCGTAGGTCCTAGTGGGGGTGCCCGCACGCGGCTCCCCCATCCAGGGCAGCGCTTCGTGGCCCCACAGGGAGCTGCACCGAAGGCCCATGTGGGGGTGCCCGCACGCGGTTCCCCCACCCAGGGCAGCGCTTCGTGGCCCCATAGGGAGCTCCACCGAAGGCCCCAGTGGGGGTGCCCGCACGCTCTCCCCCACCCAGGGCAGCGCTTCGTGGCCCCATGGGGAGCTCCACCGAAGGCCCCAGTGGGGGTGTTTGCATGCGGTTCCCGCACCCAGGGCAGCGTTTCGTGGCCCACAGGGCGCCCCACCGAAGGTCCCAATGGGGGTGTTCGCATGCGGTTCCCCCGCCCAGGGCAGCGCTTCGTAGCCCCATGGGGAGCTCCGCCGAAGGCCCCAGTGGGGGTGTTCGGATGTGGTTCTCCTACCCAGGGCATCGCTTCGTGGCCCCATAGGGGGCTCCACCGAAGGCCCCAGTGGGGGTGTTCGCATGCGGTTCCTCTCCCAAGGCAGCGCTTCGTGGCCCCATGGGGAGCTCCACCGAAGGCCTTGGTGGGGGTGTTCGCACGCGTCGTCCCCACCCAGGACAGCGCTCCGTGGCTCCATCGGGAGTTTCACCGAAGGCGCTTGTGGGGATGTTCGCATGCGTCTTCCCTACCCAGGACATCGCTTCGTGGTCCCATAGAGGGCTCCACCGAAGGCCCCACCCAGGAACGTTTTGGTCCCACAGGGAGCTCCATCGAAGGCCCTAGTGGCTGCGCCCGCATGCGGGGCGCCTGTGGGGCCCGCAGCTTCATGTTCGAAACCGAACGAGTATTCAGTTCTCGTAGCTGTCGTCACTGTTGTGCTCTTCGGAGGGCGACTCGCGCGACCCATGATGTGAAGAGGAGGAACAGGAATTGAGGAGGACGACGGCGGCCGGGCGCAGGGGGAAACCCTCCATCGAAGGCCCCAGTGGCTGCGCCCGCATGCGGGGCGCCTGGCCGACGCCGCCCAGGCGTGATCCTAGACTGCGGCCGCCACGAGGTCGGGAACGACGGGTGGCTGGAGCTCTACGTGCTCCTCTCGCGCGCCACGCGCCACGAGGACCTCCTGCTCATGCGGGCGCCGCGCATCGAGTTCTTCCTGGCAGGGCCGCCGGAGGGCTTGCGGAAGCAGCTGGAGCAGTTTGCTGCGCGCACGAAGCGGTGCAGGAGGGAGGCGGCGGCCTTCGCCAGAGAGCTGGGCTTCACCGAGTTTATCCGCGAGGCCTGACTTGAGGAGCGGCCCGCCCGAGCCGCGCCGCATCCAGGCTGTCCAACAGTTCGGCCTGGCGCCGCGTACGACCCGCGCGCGTCGCTGGGACCCCCTCGGGGCGGCCAGCGGGCGTCGCGGGGACTCCGCGCTGCGCGCTGCCCAGCGACTCGTTCGCCCGTCGTCGCTCTACCCGGCGGCCAGAACTTTGCCCGCTCTCAGCCAGCCAGCTAGATCGCTTTGCTCCGCGCAGCGGACGACCAGCGTGCGTTGCCGGGACCCCTTCGGGGCGACCGGCGCGCGTCGCGGGGACTCCGCGCTGCGCTGCGCCCGCAGCCTTGGGCACTGGAATGCGCGGGCAAAAAAAGGGGGGAAAAGAGGGGGAGGGACCGGGGGCGATCCGCGCGAGGGGCGTGCCGATATGGGCGTCGACATGCATACGCGTAGACTCACTCGCACGCAGACTCATGCACAACCAGACCCACCCGTGCTCACCCGCTCTCAGGCTCTCGTTAGCAGTCCAATCGTCTTATTCCGCGTTGCGTACCCCGCCACACATCGGCACGCCCCCCACACGGTTCTTGGCCTCATAAGAACGTCCACCGAAAGCCCCAGTGGCAGGGTCCGCATGCCGCCCCCCGCCCACTTCGGCACACCATTTGCACGTTTCGTGGCCCCATCGGGAGCTCCACCGAAGGCCCCCGTGTCAGGGTTCGCATGCGTCCGCGCCACCCAGTACAGCGCTTCGTGGCCCCATGGGGAGCTCCACCGAAGGCCCCCGTGGCTGCATTCGCATGCGTCTTCCCACCCAGGACACAATTTCGTGGCCCCATGGGGAACCCCGCCGAATGCGTTGTTCACAAAGACGGTACTCACAACTGCATATGGTTGGGTCCTTCGCCCGGCTAATTTTTCCCAGCCCGGCGCGTTCCACTACTCGCGAGGTGCCTACTCGCAAACGTCCGAAGCAACACATGTTCCCTCCGATGTAGTGGGTCGTAGGTCCTCCTCGGCGGAGCCAGGCCATTTGCGAGCAGTTATTTAATCGTTTCGCTCATTTCCCCGGCCCCTTATGGGCCTCTTTGGAGGAGGAAGAGGAAGAGGAGGGGGAGGAGGAGGAGGGAAAAACAGGCGGATTGGGAATTGGGGAGCAGTTATTTTGCGAATGGTGGAATGCGCTTGTCTATTTGCGTCCAAGGGCCCCACGGGCGGCCCCGCGCTCGCGAGCTAGAAGTGTTCCGAACCTGTTGCGGGAGATCTTGGCACGCCTCTGACCCGGGAGGCCAGCGAATCGTTCCCATTGGTCGTTGAAAGAAGCTGTTTCTGGCGTCACAGATTCCATACTACAGTAGCCGCCTTCCTGCCTCAAGAGTCGAGTGGTGTTCCCTCCTCCCTCCTCTGCAGGTGGCGGGCGGAAGTCCAATCTACTTCCAACGCCTTCCTTCCTGCTGCATGGTTCTACCTACTTCTCCCGACCGATGGGCACGTGGGAGAAATGGAGGAGGAGGATGCCCAGCGAGGCTCCCAGGGCCGGCACCAAGCAGCGGCAGCCCTCGACGACGCCTCCGCCAGAGTTCAAGGGCTGACTGAGCCGCATCGCGCGCCCGGGCGCCGCGGAAGGCGAGGTCTGAGGACTCCGTCCTCTCCCTTTTCTGGGAGGAGGAGTCCGCCCACTTCGCTCCGCCCCGCCCCCCTCCCGAGAGGAGGACTCGCCGACTCGCCATCTCCTCCCTGGTAGGATGAGTCCGCCCCTATCCCTTCCAGGCCTTCTGTTTCCCTTCTCTTCAGTGCCTCCCCCCGCACCTCATGGTGCTGTTTCCACGCCCCCTCCTGATTTCCTCCTGCCTCGCGACAGTTCCCTGTAAGCTTTAAGTCGGGCCTGTCCCTCTACAGGAGGGATAGCCAAAAATACTCAAAAATAGTCTGGGGATGATTTGTGACTATTTATGGCATTGCTTTTTTTGTGTTTCAGAGTGTTTGGAGTATTTCTGCATTTTCGCCCAGAATCCGCCTGTAGGAGGACATGCCCAACCTAACTGTACGCATCTGAGAGCTCTAGAGCACCCCCGAAACTGTCCGACAGTGTCAGAAATCCTTGAATAATCCTCCTGCCCTCGTTCCCCCCGTCGAACATGCGGTTCGCGCGTGTGCTCGAGCGTTTGGGTGCTATGGGGAGGGCACCGAACATGCGGCTGCCATCGTGTTTCTGGGCGGTCCCCACTCGAGGAATCCCACGGACGGGGCCCCCCGCAGAAGGCACCCCGTGTGTGCGCGTGCCCGACCCCGTGGCGCCCGCCGCCCACCCAAGGGAAAATAGCCCGCCGACCGGACACCCCGCGGGACCCGAAAGCAGCCACCGCTAGAGCTCAGCACTCAGGGCTTGGCATCGCTCGGACGTGTGCATTTTTCCTTCGGCGAGGACCATCGAGGAGCTTCCTTGATCATTTGACGAAAAAACCACGCACGAAGCCGAAAAAAGCACAGGGAATGGACGTCCGAGCGATGGCGAGAGGGGGGAGGTCGGATCGAAAGCGAGTCACAGCGAGCGAGAATCTCTCGGTGCAGCGACTGTTCGGGGAGCGAGTTGCTGCGCTGAGCCTGTCGGCGAGACAGAGCCAGCCGAGGCAAGGCCCAGCGGCCGAACTGTGCGAATGAGAAGGTGGCCAAGGAGGATAAGGAGCAGGAGTAGGAGGAGGACGTGAAGCAGGAGGAGGAGGAGGAGGAGGAGCAGTGGAAGGGTGGAGGAAAAGAAGGAGGAGGAGGAAGAAGAGGAGGAGGGGAAATGCCAAATCTGGGTGTGCGATTGTCTCTGCCTGGCCCCCCACCTCGAGGAGGAGGAGGAGAGCGAGGAGGATGATGAGGAGGAGGAGGCGGAGGAGGAGGAGGAGGAGAACGAGGCGGAGGAGGAGGAGGAGGAAGAGGAGGAGGCGGAGGAGGATAACGAACATGGTAATGATAATGATCATGATGACAGTGATGATAATGTTAATGCTGCTGCTGCTGATGATGGTGATGGCGATGATGATGGTAATGGTGATGATGATGATGACGATGATGATTATCATGTATATGATGTTGATGATGCTTACAATGATGACGATGCCGATTATGATGGCTCTGATGATGATGCTGATGATCCTGATGCTGATGCTGATAATGCTGATGTTTATTATGATTGTGATTATGCGGGTGACGATAACGATCGATGGTAATGATACGGTAATGACGACGATGCTGATGCTGATGATGATTATGATAATGATGAAGATGCGTTTGATTATGATGATGATGATGATGATGATGATGATGATGGTGGTGATGATGTTGATGATGATGGTCAGCATTATCATTAGTATCATTATTACCAACTATTAGAATTATGTTCATTTTGTTGTTGATGGTGTCCCGCGTGCTCGTCGACGTGCACGCGGGACACCAGGAGCAGCACGGCGCATGCGCAGCACGTCGGGTACCAGGAGCAGCAAGGAGGGCACCATGAGCAGCACGACGGGTGAGTCACACGGCGAATTCCACGAGCAGCACGACGGGTACGAGGTGCAGTCCGGCGCATATCACGAGCGGCACGACGGACACCAGTAGTTTCACGAGCAGCACGGCGGATACCATGAGTTGCACGACGGATACCATGATACCGCGCACTTTGGTTCCCGTTTGTTGCGCCAGGTTGGGGCCAGATGTAGGCCCACGGGGTACATAAATCACACCGCGCATCTCCCTTTACACACATAGGGCTTTCAGAAAGATGTCACGGAGACGGTGAGTCCCTGGTATACTTCTACTACACGTAGCGGTGTATTGGTATTTGCCTCCACTGTGCTGCATCGGCTTTGCAGAGTAACGGTCTGGGCGGGCTGGGCGTCTTCCAGGTGACGCGGGGGGCCTTCCTGGCGATGCTGATTGTGCAGGTGCCTGCATGCCGTGCCCGTTGGGTGGACGCTGGCGTGTCGCACCCAGCGCCGGCACCGACGGCACCGACGCCAGCTCCATCGCCCGCGCCTGCGCCGGCACCATTCTTGCTACCACCACCGCTTCAGCCTCCACCATCGACGCTGCCAACCGCACGTGCCTTCACTCCAGCTCCGACTTCTGCTCCGGCGCAGACTCAGCTTCCACCTCCGCTTCCCCTTCCGACGCTTGCGCTGGGCCCACCCTCGGCCTCGCCTCGAACGCCGGCCCCGATTCCAGCACCTACACCAGAGCAAACATGGGCGCCTACGCCTGCGGCGCTGCCAGCACCGACGCCAGCATTCAACCAGGCGCCTGCACCAGTCCCGACGCAAGCACCTACACCAGCGTCGACGCCAACACTAACACCAACACGAGCTACAGCGCCTACACCAGCGCCGACGCCACCACCGACCCCAACGCACCGGCGAGCTGCCTAGCTCACCAGTGTTCCAGGCATTCACGCTGGCGCCCACGGCAGCACCGACGCCAGCATCCACGCCTGCGCCTACACCAGCACCAACGCAAGCTCCCAGCAATACTTGTCGTGGTTCCGTTTGTAATCATCAGCCGTAGCACCATCAAGATCGACAGGCAGATCTTGATGCTGGTGCCGGGGAACGACGCTATGGTGGCGACGGCGTGAGCCGCTCTCCTGCGCGCCTCTTCCTTGGTGCTCCTCCTCCTCCTCTTCGCCCCCGGGCCCGGGTCCAGAGCGATCGTATTTTTTCTCGTTATTTTCGGCAGTTCGTTTGGCTCCCATTGTGCGCTTTACATAAGTGGCTGCCTGGCTGCCACCGGGGTTTCGCATGTAATGGGTCCATCGATGCGGTGGGGGCTGCGGCACAATCTTGGCCTGTAGGGTCCCATACATCTTGTGGGCACCTTGCTCTGCGAGCTGCCCAGTTCCAGGGCTATGTCTGCGTATGACTGGCTGCCTGCAGGCATCCACGAGTCTGCATGTGCTATATCTTATTAGTTGTACTGAGCGCTGTCCTTTCGCCTGCCGCTGTGCGATGGGAAGAAAAATGCGGTTGATGATGATGACGATGGGGACGATGGTGGTGGTGATGGTGTTGATGATGATGATCATGGTGGTGATGATGCTCTTGATGATGACCAGTACTATTTCTCTTTAACATTCGTATTAGATATGATGTGTATGCTCATTATGATGTTGATGATGACGATGGTGACGATGGTGATGCTGATGCTGATGCTGATGCTGATGATGTTGGTGATGATGATGATGATGATGCTGATTTTGATGATGAGGTGGCGGAGGATGAGGATGAACATGATTGTGGCGGTGGTGGTGGTCAAAAGGACGAGGAGAAGGAGGAGGAGAAAAAGGAGGAGGACCGCGATGGGAAAGGGACCCCCCCCCCCCGAGGGAGGAGAGGGTGGGTCACTTGTCTTCCTTCTAAACTCACTTCATTGGCATTCCGCTCGTGCCTTTGTACACTATCGCCTTCCCCCGAGATGTGACTGAGTGCGTCGGCGAGCCCGAATGCTGGGCCCAGCTGACTGCAGTCGCAGAGGCAGCTGAAAAAGATGTCCAACTACCTCACGACAGCATCGTACTCCTCGCACCCACCTCGGGCCTCAAGCATGAGAAGCTGGCACGGCTGTTGACGGGGGGTGTTCCCGCGTCGTTTCCAGCAGTGCGCGCAGTACCTGCCGGAAGGGCCCTCGTGCGTAGTCTAAGTCGCACATGTCACGCCTCATATCCAAATCAAGGGGCGGTATACCCCTTTCCCCTCCCACGTAGACCGAACTTTTCCGCTACCCCATGCAGACTCTGGTCAGGTCATCTGCCCACATCTGGGGGCAGAGGCGAGGGGGTCGTCGTCACGGACAGGGGGGCGCCACTAGAGAGCCGGTCTGGCAGCTCACGGCATGCATTGGCTGGGCCGTTTTGGCAGTACGGCATGCGTTGGTTGGACGTTCGGTTCTTGCAGTGTTGCGTTTGGTCACGTTCGCATGCACGCGATAGCTTCTGCGGCTACCTCGTGCTTGCATCACGTAAGGCGGCCGTCTGGATTAGGAAAGCCGTGAGTTGGCTAAGCGCTGGGAGGCCGTGACGGCTTGGTCGACCATGAACCGTGTTGCCCCATTTTTGTTCGCGACGTTCTCGAGAAGGAGTACAAGGTGGATATGGAGCGCGAGCCTGGTGCGATCTCAAGTAGGAGAAAGTTTATTATTGTATGGGCGCTCTGCTTGGCGATTCGTGGCATTGCCTTGCATTGTTTTTCATTCGTTTGCATTGCTTGTCGTTGCTTGTCATCGCTAGGGGTTGTTAGGTATTGACGGGCACTGCCTAGCATTGCGTGTCGTTGCTTTGCATCGATTGGCATTGCTTTGCGTTGTTCTGCAATGCCCAGGCGCCCGAGGGACAAGGCCGGGGAGCCCGAGGAGCCCACGCAAGGAGCAAGACTGCAGGGAACCCGAGGGACGAGACCCGGGAGCAGAATGTCTGAGCAGGGAGCGAGGCCAGGGGCCCCGAGGTGCCCGGGGAAAGAGCAGCAAGACCAGGGAGCCCGGGAAGCGAGGCGGGGGAGCCCGAGGACGCAGGGCAGGGAGCCAGACCGAGGAGCCCCGGGCCGGCACGAGGTCGGGGCCCCCCCGGGAAGGCCCCTCGAAAGGAATCAAGACCGCCGAATCTTTGGGAAGGCCGGCGACGACAGGGCCAGGCACCCACCCAGGGCTCGTTTCGATTCCTCCGATTCGATTCGATTCGATTTCGGTGGTTTCCGATTCCTATTCGATTCGACTTCGGATTCCGATTTGGATTCCGATTCTTTACTGAAGGCAGACTAGCTTGCCGATTTCCGCCGATTCAACTTCTCCCGACGCGGCTGCCGATGTCCGCCGATCCGACCCATTTCGATCGCCGATCCGACTTATCGATTCGATTTTGGGCTCTCCTGCCCACTGGCCCTTCATACACAAGAGGGCCCTTCAGGCAATGCCCAAGTGGGCAGTATGGGATCAGAGTTGCAGGAGGAGTTGCATGAAGAGGGGAATCGACTGGCCGTCCTACCTTGTTTGCGCCCTCTGGCCCTTCGCCAACTTTCGTGCCTATTCACCTACATTCCTAACCTCTAGTAAGAAACACCCCCCGACAAGCTGGGGGCCTCATTTTGTTTTGAATTTCAATGCCGAATTCCAAAAAGCTGGCCCAGATTCACAACCTCTGGATCCTTGCCTGGATCTTCCGCCAGATCTTCTTCCAAAGCGTCCTCCAGATCTCCCCCTAGGTATCCCGGATATCCCCCCAGATCTTCGCTGAGATGTTCCTCCAGATCTTGCACATCTCCCCCCGATCGTCCACACATTGTTCCTCCACATCTTCGCCCAGATCCCCCAGCAGATCTTCGCCCAGATCTTCCTCCAGATCATTCCCAGATCTTCACCCAGGTGTTCCTCAAGATCTCCCCCCAGATCTTTCTCAGACATCTTGCCAGATCTTCCTCCAGATCTTCAGCTAGCTCTCCCGCCAGATCGTCGCCCAGATCTTCCTCCAGATCTTTCCCAGATCTTCCGCCAGATCTTCCGCCAGATCTCCCTGGAGATCTTCCACAAGATCTTCTCCCAGATCTTCCTCCAGAACTTGTTCAGATATCTCGCCAGATCTCCCTGAAGAGCTTTCCCGAGATCCCCCTCCAGATCTTCGCCTAGAGCTTCGTTCAGATCTTTTTCCAGATCTTCCTCCGAATCTCCCCCAAATCTTGCACCTAATCTTCCTCCAGATCTTCGCCCAGATCTCCGCCCAGATCTGCGCCCAGATCTTCCTCTGTGTCTCAGGGCTGGAGCTGAGCAGTGTTATATCGTTTTTGTCTGATGGTTTAGTTATCTTGTTAGTTTGTCGTCCTAAACGCGTTCGGAAACACTTTGCGCCCGTGGTTCAAACACCCGTCTCGTGCCCGTCAGGTTTGTAAGTTGGGCCGCTGTTTTGTTGGGAGTGTTGTTCTGGCGCGGGCATGCGCCGCACGTTTGTTTTGCGTTTGTTTTCGCGCGCGAGCGAGGCGCCCATGTTCTGTTTGGGCATCTGTTCTGCCCACGCAACTTCGTCGCACTTCGCGCGACGCGCGTCGTTCGTTTCCGCCGTCAAATCTGTTAAGTTTTCAGCGTTCGTTCACCCAGGTCTCCTCCCAGATCTTCCGTTTCACGGTTGTTGGCATGCCCTCTCTTCCAGTTTCGTTGCGCATTGTATTTGGCCGGTATGTTGTTCTTCCAGATATCTTTTTGATCTCACCGCATAGTGCTCAAACAACTAAGTCGGCATGCCCAGCATCCGTTTCGAGGATCCAGTCACCAATCTCGTCTTTAAGACCCTTGGTTTGGTTCATGTCGTGAGGTCGGCCGCGGGACCTACTCAAAGACCTCCTTTGAAAATTGCGTCAGGTCCTCACCGTCTCTCCCAGTAATCCCTCTGGTCGTCCTCCACATACCCCCCCATTCAGATGTGTCGTACAATCTCCCCC